TGCTTGACTTCGCGATATATATATATATATATATATGCAGTTAAAAGGCTCTCTTATTTAAGTCTACTTAGCAACTTGCCAGCCCCGAGCCAAGCCCATGCCAAAAGGAATCAAAGCTATATTAAAAGTTGAGCCGGCCAGGTGGCACAGCGGTTAGCGTGCCCGACTGCGAAGCCAATGGCTGCTGGTTCGAATCCCGCTAGGGGCATGGATGTTTCTGTCTATGTGTTGTCTTTTGTTGTGTGTGATGTGTGAATGTGGCCCACCCTATGAACGGGTATCTGTGGCAGTGTGGCGTGGGTAATGTTGCTCACCTCTGTGACTTAGGTTCACACATGTCCACTGGGTAACGTTAAATGAGCAACACTTCCGGCATCTTCCAAGGTGAAGAACGAAAGTTCAGTACCTGCCTTTGTAGAAAAAAAATATATTAAGGAGGTGCTCAGTGTATTTTTTAACTTTTCTTTTGTAATTACTCAGTATTTTGTCAGTCTTATCTCGGAACGCTATTTTGAATCTCTTATAACTCCTGAACTGTCAGCACTAGTCAGCATCGACTAATAGAAGCAGTTTTAGCCCCCTGTCCGGAAAACCGTTTAAATATTTTGATTATTCCGTCCGGAAGTTTGGAAAAAGGATTTTTTTTTTGCGTTAGTTTAACATTTGACAGTGTTATAAATAAAATTTCAAACGATCCTTTTTAACATTTTATCACACGTTTTTAAATTAATTAAAATTGAATTTGTTTAATTATTTTTTTACAAGTTAAGACATCAACGCGAATGGCATTTGGATCGGTGCTATGAATTACTATTTTTAAAAATATCTGTAACCACTTGTATATTTTTTTCATAATTTCGTGCTTCAGGGGAAAATATAAAATGCAAATTTTTCTCAAAGACTTAATAACACCTGAAACAAAATAGTATGAAATAAAATAATTTAATAAAAAAAACTATTTTTCTAAGGATTTCTACGAGAAAGCTATAAATAAAATATTGCTTGCATTTAGTCACAGTTAATTTTCCAGTTATTGTGTCCATTTTATATAAAATTTACCTTAAAATGTGCAGTAAGATTTTTGACAAGAAGCAAATGTAAAGCCGGTGGTTTTCGAACAAGAATAATAAATCCAAATGAACCATTCTTTCTTTTCGTCTGCCTACATTTAAAAATTTGAAGATATTAGTGCAATACATTTTTATATTAAATGAAATTAACATAAAACCTGGAAAAGTAGCTGAAACTATATGAATGCATTATTTCATTAATTAGCTTTTCATGCAGACCCATGAAAAACTTGCTGTTTTTATATATTTCTTTATATTATATTATTACTGTTTGCTTTGGAATTCATTGTTAGATATATTATTTTTAATATATTTCAAATTTTCAGCAAATGGTAGCTACATATTTGTGGATGTCAGCAAGGCAAGTGTAGGTTCAGTTAAATTGCTAACAAGATCCTTGACATCGGACTACTGCGTTCAATTCTTCTACCACATGTATGGAGCTCATATAGGAGATCTGTCAGTTTATGCTCAAAGTGTCTATGGATCTGAAAACGTTCAATATTTCTACAGAGAAAGAACACAAGGAGATCGATGGAAGCAAGCGAGATTCAGTGTTTCACAAACTGCAAATATGCGATACAAAGGCTACAAGGTTAGTTCTTATTTTAATTTTTGCAACTAAATAATTTATCGAGGGACCGAGTTGAGCAATGGAAAAGAAAATTGATCAGTAGTAGAAAAATTTTTGATTGTGTGTTATGTGTTTTACATGCAACTTGAAGTGCACAAAGTTACCTTAAGAGAATATCAATTTTTCCTAGCAGCAAAATACACGGTTCTCAGCAGATCACCGAAGTCAAGCATCACTGGCTGCGGTCAGTGTGCGGGTGGGTGACCACTTGGATCAGTCTGCGTAGGGACCGAGGGTGTGCGGTATTGGTCCTCATTAAACTGTTCTACCGTAAAGTGCTCGACTTCGCGTGCAGATCGTCGGGCTACCGAAGCGGGGGTGCCATCCCCTCTGCAGAGGATCAAAATTGCGATGGCATGTCTTCGGATCATCCTCAGGAATGTTTCCCAGACCGTCGCCAATAGCCCATTGTGCAGCTCTAGTGCGACGTTAATGAACTACAAGAACTACAAACCTATAGAAAAATAACTTGGGCCCTTATTAGACCAATATTCACGAATCTTGGCTCAATAAGGGGTCAAAGGGCCGTTATTTTCCGATATTAGCCCAATAAAGAATAGTTCGATTCTCCCGATATTTTACGGCCACTTCACGAACAATTCAATTACGTTCTCTCAAAACTGTGGAACAGTGTTGCCATGTGTAATATTTCAAAACACTAGCTGTGAAAAGAAAGATTGTTCACATAGAGTTAGTATAGAAGTGTTTCCATAATTTTTCTTCAACTCCTCTATTCTGGGTTCCCGCTGTCCTTGAAAATTTTGCTCGAATCTTGGCTCAAGCCCGCGGTCCTTGAAAAATTAATTCACGAATCTTGACCCAATCTTGTAAAATATTTCAAAACACTAGCTGTGAAAAGAAAGATTGTTCACTTAGAGTTAGTATAGAAGTAATTCCGTTATTTTTCTTCAACTCCTGTATTCAAGGCTCCTGCGGTCCTAGAAAAATTTTAGTAGTGGTAGTAAATTAAGGTTAATGTAAGAATATATTTCGTATTTCAATGTCCCACTTTATTGTTAAGTGGTTTAGCAAGCCGGAATTTTCATGCACATATTCTTTCTTTGGAAAACAATTTTCAGTGGTGGTTACATAGAGCTTAAAGTATTGACATACGTTTAATTTTCGTTACCACTTTTTAAAAATTTCAAAGCCAGCGGGAAGCCAGTGTATTTTCACTTTGCATTCATTCGGTTGATATTTAACTCGCACAATCGTACAACCTCGGTCTTCAAGCGATAAACTTTCCTTTTTCTTAAAACGTAGTTTTAATTGACTGTCCATTGAATGTAAGTAAAATCTTTTAATTAATCTTATATTTTATATGCGTAGCTTCTTTTATCACTATATATATATATTTTAAATGTAATTTCAGGTAAGTTTTGTGGCTAAAGGAAGAGCATATTCTGGTGTATGGGGAGATATTGCTCTTGATGATTTGGAACTTACTCCTGGAAAATGCAAAGATACAAAGAGTAAGTAGGCTTCTGGTAAAAAAAAATATTTCAAGAGATTATAAATCTTAGTAATCGGTAGCTGTATTATTTTAAAAGTATCTAAGTTGTAACGTATCAAGCTATATTAAGTAACAGTTCTTTGCTTTATAAAAAAAAATTATTTCGCAACAACAAATACAGTGACGAAATTAAAGTAACCGTAACGGGCTAGTAATAATCTTGCAAAAAATACAGAGAAAAACAAGTAACGGGTTAGCATAAACCTCAAATTCAAAAACAAGTACTATCTCCTTTAACTCTCTGTTGATCTATCAAAATCTCGTGCTTTTTAATTTATCTTGTTAAATATACATTTTTTTTTTAAATTCATACTTTTGTCAGCCAGATATTTTTAAGACTATATAAAGTAAAAAAAAATGTCTAATATTTGAGCTATCTCCGATTTAAGTAAAGTAAATTTTTGGGCTGATTCAGTGTTTTGACAGGGAGTTTTTCAGATTTTACGGTTTTAAATAGTTGAACTTCATAAAATTTGAACAACTAAATGAAAAAAAGTATATGGTAAAACAACTGTTTTTATTTTAATGAAAAACATAAGTGATAAAATTTCATAAATGTTGTCAGCGAAATTTGTTAACCCTTTTTTTGCGCAGTGGGTCCAATCTGGCAAAATTTTTCCATAAATATTAACAACGACTGAAAGTGTTAAATTATTTGCTTTGAAACTTTCATGAATTTTTCGCAACCTCTATTATTTAAACAATAAATCAAAGACAACATTTTTAACGGTTTTCTATGATGGGCCAACATGAACTAGACGGTTACCATCAAAAACCAAGACTGACAGTATAAAGAACCAATATATGTATTGGAACAACTTTATGTTGAACCAACATGAGCAAAACCTATGGTAAATTAAAACATATGGTAAATTTCTCTCAGTCACTTTTTACAATAAAATTTGGGTTCATGCGCATTACAGGTTCACTTTTTAAGTAGTCCGTACAGACTACCTATAAGAAACCGTGTGGAGGCTTTCTGATGTAGGAGGTGATGCCTCAGACGCCCAGTTCCACTACAACGAACGAACGAATTTATTTAATGGCCTCCAGATGTTTTATCATAATTGTGCAAACAGTGCGGTTTTAATTCAATTATGAATATAGTGGTAAAATGTTTCTGTTTCTTCTCCATTTACTTCCTACCATTACAATGTCAACACCACAAGTTACACTAGAAGAAGTTCTACACTAGAAGATGTCTACACTAGAAGTAGTTCATGATGTCTGGGAAAAGGGCCGTGAGTGACCAAATATGCATAGTCTCGGGATCAGGATCAGTTGATTTTGTCTTTTTAACTCCAAATGATTGTGTTCGTTTTATTAGTGGTAAAAAGAATCTTGAATGCAAAGGGTAGCTATTGTTCTTGTTTTTTGTGTGCATTAAAAACTGTTTTTTTTTATTTGCAGGAGATGCTTACGATGTGTGTTCTTTCAATGATTATGACTGCGGATACACATCTACCCGAATGAGTTCATTGGGATGGGAATGGAAGAGTATTCACACAACTTCAAATTATTTTTCAAAGCAGCCATCCCAAGATCACACATTGGGCACAAGTATTGGTGGATACTGGTTTGTTGGAGACAGAGGTTACTCCGCCAGTCAATTGAACACAGTGATGCTTACTAGTCCTCTTTATGACAAGCCCAAAACTTCACTGAACTGTTTACATTTCTATGTTTATTTGGATCACGAGGGCACCTCTATGTGGTGGGGAGGTGTAAAAGAAAACTTTATACAAGTCTTTCTGAATTTCCCGAATTCAAAAGATCCAAGTAAGTTCATTTATATGTATGGTTTGGGGCAATCTAATGATACGTCACATTTTTAAATTATTCAGTAGAGAGTTTTTAAAGAGTGTGTTTCAATATTTCAGTGTTGTATTGCTATTTACTGAAAATTCGCTACCTTTATGTTTTTTCTTTAAATAACAGTAACTTAATATNAGGTAGAGGGGACTTAAATAAGCATATTTCGTATAAGAGTGTGTGTGCGGTAATGCCGCCTTGAGCCGGTAGGGAGTGCTGATGACTGCGGCGTATAAAAGCGCTTGCTAGCTGGATTCCCGCACGAATCTCAGACAGCATGCATCGTTTCACCAATGTGGAGCTCGCCGACGCGCATTTCATGTATGGGGCTGCACAAGGAAACGAATTAGCTGCTCAGAGGATGTACAGGGAGCGTCAGAAGTCACCTGGACGCTGTCTACGGCCAGCATTGGATAGGACGGGGTGGTCCAGTTCCCAGGTCACCGCGTTCTCCTGATTTAGCCTGCTTGGATTTTTTCTTTTGGGGTCATATTGAAAGCCTGGTGTACGAGAGTCCTATCAGGAAGATCTTGTTGCCCGCTTGTCTGTTGCTGCTTTACATGTGCTCGACATGCCTAACGTCTTTTCTAATGTACGCCGATCCACGCGCCGTCTCTGTGAATCTTGTATCGATGTTGGTGGCTGCTCTTTCGAGCACCTCTTGTAAACTGTTGATAAATTTTTATTTTATTTTGTCTATACTTGTCTTTTCAGTTTCCTCTGATTCGTACTGCNATGCGCCGTCGCTGTGAATCTTGTATCGATGTTGGTGGCTGCTCTTTCGAGCACCTCTTGTAAACTGTTGATAAATTTTTATTTTATTTTGTCTTTACTTGTCTTTTCAGTTTCCTCTGTTTCATACTGCTTTACAAGCTAGTGCTTTAATGTGCCATTACCGCACACACATTCCTATCCGAAATATGCTTATTTATGTCCCCTCTACCTACCTTTAAATTTTTGACACATATTTTAGGACCACCCTGTATATATATATAAAGCTTCTATTAATCTTTGTATGTTATTTCTTTTCTATAAAACAATTCCTAATTTATTATTCCAATCGAAACACTTTCTCACACTTTTAAAAAGTCACATCCTGTTCTTATATCTATTTTCGGCTCAAGTATGCATTCATTAAAGGTAAGACATTCTTCCCTTTTCTTTTGTGGGAATCGCGCAACCTATTTAATAAACCATTGGTAATTTCTAAGATTTCCAACTTTTCCCTAAATAGAGACATTCTACGGATTAACTTTGCAAGATTGTCCCTAACTTAAAACTTATAATCGAGGAGCACAACTTTTCGTAACCACCACTTTTATAGCTGTTCTCTGTCTAATAATTAATAAATAAATTTTGTACCCTCCTTCCCTGCCTCAGACCATATATATACTTTGGTATTCCGTACACTTATACATTTTTAAGGTTCAGTGCAGCTGCCCGGAATACATTTCTCGGTATCTCATACACTAATGCTTCCAAAATATTTATAAATTATTTTAACGGCAGGCACAGAACTTACCGTTCTTTGCCATGAAAGGTGATGAAAGTGTTGCTTATTTTGCATTGTCTGGTGAGCACCTTGTGACCAGAGTCACGGGGCGAGCAACATTACCCACGCCACACTGTCCGTTCATAGGATCCATATTCACACATCGCGCACAACAGAGGAGAACGCACAGAAAGAAACATCCATGCTATAAGAGGGATTCGAACCAGCAGCCATTGGCTTTGGAGTCAGGCATGCTAACCATTCGGTCACCTGGCCGGCTGTTTTTAAAATATAATCAAATAAGGTATTGTTGTAGTGATTATCACCGAGTAGCATTAATAACCTTATAAGCCAGTTAAATTTGAAATTTAGGTTTCATAAAAATTAATTTATTGAATAAAGAAAATGGTATTTTTCCGTAAACATCCACTTAGTATATTTTTTTCAAGAGAAGAATGCGTGATAATATACCAATTATGGAATATCTCATGATCCAAACTATCAACTTTTTTCACTGCCTAAAATATGACACACTAGCAACCTTTCTTTTACACTCACCTCCTTGGACGAGATAAATCATCAACCTTTTTCACACTCACCGCCTAAAATGTGACACACCATCAACCTTTTTCTACACTCACTAACTTGAACGAGATAAATCATCAACCTTTTTCACACTCACCGCCTGAAATGTGACACACCACCAAACCTTTTTTTCACGATAAACCAACAACCTTTTTTTTTACACTCACCACTTGAAATGGAACAATCTCTCATTACTGCACCAAATGGGAACGACTTAAACTGTACAACACAGTAAGTTGTGTTTAAAAATTAATGCAGCGTCTGCAGAGCTTGCTTGTTATAATTTATTGTAACTTTGTATAAAAACCACTTTAGCATTCTTTTACAATAAATGCAATTACTTATAGTTCATATTTTTAATTTAGTAGAAAGAGAAGTGTTTTTAAATTACAAACCTTGGAATTTTTTTATCAAATAAATTTACCTCAAAGTATTCAATTTATAACTAATAGAACTTACTTATAGGAATATTTTTACGGATTCATAATAACTTTTGGGCATTCATACTTTTCATAATTCTTTTTTTTTTAGTAAGTAATATAAAAACATATTGAAAATATTTTTGCTGTAGAATAATTTAGTGTTAACTTAATTTTATTTCTCGACAGGAAAATGGATAGTTACGAAAGCTAAGAACACAACAGAGCATGCAGAATGGTCATACGTAGAAGCAAAAGCAGAAATAACGCAGAAATTTCAGGTGAGAAATCAGATTTTATTTTTAAAATGCAGAATCTTTTATTTGTTCATAAGACTTTATTCTCCAAGAGTTTGTGGTGTGTAGAGTCTTCGTCTCACACGGATTGAACCGTAGTAGGATCCCTCGCCCTAAAGGTTAGGTGTTTTATTTTATTTTATAACAGTCGATGAACAGCCGACCCAATTTTCGGGTTTACGACTGCTAATATTCAGCTCCGTAGCCCTGTAATTTTGATTTCAATCCAGTAGACAAGAGAACTTCAGGATCAAGTATTGGGAGAAAGTTGCCTTCGTGGAGAACTTTTTGAGGGAACTAACCCGCATTTGCGTTACATGGAGAGGAAAACCACGAAAACCTCCCACGGTTAGCCTGACGGCAAAGGGACTTTAACCCATGATCCGTCTACCACTGAGGATATTTTATGTCAGCACTGTGGTCGGTGCAAGCCCGATGAGGATTCGAAACGACCTACGATAGTGGGATTCTGTGTCAAGAGAGTATTTGTCAGTATTGTCTTTTCACCATTAAGGATACATCCAAGTCAGTTGCCAAAGGCCCATTAGTGCAGCGTTCGTAGGAATGTTAAGACAATCAATCAGGAAATTGTAAATATATTTTCATAATATTTCGTCAAGAATTTAGAGACCCATGCTTTCGTTATGTTATTAAAAAATATGTAATTATAAATTGCGGTCCGTGGTCGGTGCCAGGAGGTTTTCGGAAAAAGTCCTGAGGGTTTGGACCAGGCCTGTGCTAGCCGGCAGGCCTCCCTTTCTTACCAAGGCAAATGTGGTGATGATACTCGTACGTGACTTGGTGCTGTATTTTTGTTATTGCTTTAAAGCGTCTTCTTACATTTCGCGTAGGGGTACTAGGGGTCTGCTTCACAGTAAATTCGAGACATTATGTTATTAAAAGCTTTGAAACCTCTTTTGTCTTATTTCTCAAACGAAAACTTTATTAGCCTTAAAAACTATGGAAGAGAAAGTCGATATGTTTTGAGGGCACAAAACAGATGCCCATTATCAAGTCTGACCAACGCGGAATGAGGAAGACAAAACAGATATTAAAAAAATTAATTAAGTTGCCAAAGTAGAACAATAATTATGAAAAACAAAAAAAGAATCCATGGAAGCCAACGAGAGTGACTGTGACCGCTAATCAGGGAAGGTTACATTTCCCTGAGGTTTGAAGGTATGGTGAAAAACTGATATCATTAACAAGGTAACGAGCATCTGTGAGGCATTGTTTACGATTTAATTTTTAACTCTGCATTGAATGAGATCAACTTTGAAAGGATTGATTTGAAAGTTAAGAAGTCATAAAAGCTCTATGTACGAAAAGTAAATTTTTATACTTGTCTCTATTTACGCAACTCAAATTGCTATGAAAACGAGTGAGACATTCTTCCTTGTGTATGTTTTTTTTTATACTTTGAATCGAATAAAACTATACTCGTGTCACAAGAACAAATAGTTCAAAAATTGCAAGCATTTTTATGGGTAAAAAGCACTACTTTAGACAAGTACTTTCACACACTTTTTACTTTGCTATCTAAAAACGATCTGATCATGTAAGGTGTATTATTCAACGTAATTTTTTTATACTGATTTGACTGAATGATGAATGACTTTTGACTGAATGACTGAATGAATTTGACTGAATGACTTTTGATGACTGAATGAGATAAAATTCGAGTAGATAGGATAAATGGTTTAGGTATAAAGGTTTCTTTTAATAGTATGCATGATTCAAAAATAGGTGTTTTATGCAGAAAAAAATCATTTCAACTTTGAAGTATTGTTTGGTTTCATTCGATTAAGTGAGAAAAATGCTTTAAAAACGATTTACTTGTCTGCATAGTTATATTAGATTCGTTAAATAAGTGAAATTATACAATTATACATTTTATGTCCATAACCTTTGTAACTTCACAAACATTTATCTTATCGATTCATGTTTTGTATAATTTAATTCAGTCTATAAATTAAAGCGGAAAATATACCTTTTCGGAAAGCCCTTTGTTAGCAATTTAAAAAGTTTACCAATGTGCATGTAATAAGAAGCACTTTATATACAAAAAACCCCGGACAACTTTCATTCGTTCTATAGACTCGTCAATAGTCTCATTTTATTTAGCGTAAAAATACTATGTGCCAGTTATTTAGTACAAGTATGATGTATGTGTTTGATATCAGATGCGTAAATAGGCACAAGTACAAAATTGTACTTTTTGTACGTAAAACCCTAAGTCTGTAGCTCTAATTAAATAAACTACAAGCCTGATCGTATCGGAATTGGTTTCATTCTATTCAGCGTAAAAATTACATTGGAAACAATGCCGTATGTGCCGTGTAGAAGAAATTCAATCCCTTCTCTCAAATCATCCTCCTTTCCCTCAAAAAAGGAGAAGCGTACAGAGTTGAGTAGAAAAGTTTTCATTTGTAAGGACATGATAAGGACATTATTTTTTACCAAGGAAAAGTTTAGTTTTATTGAACTACTGACAATTTAAGTTTTGTAAAATGTCTAATTTTTTCGTTACAGATTCAGTTTACTGCTGGATTACAAACGCCCGTAGAATCAATTGCTGCACTTGATGATGTAAAACTTATTGCTGGAAACTGTCCTGAGGCCGGTAAGTAATTTATTTAGATCATTGTTTTCCACCGGGTGGTTTGAGAACATTTAGGGACTTGAGAAAAACATTTTTGTCATGATGGAATTTTCAATGGCTTACGTCATTGATAAAATAAAAAACAAAGTTATTAAACTAATTTTAGCCTTTATTAGCTTAGTCATTTTTAAAAGGAAATTGTGGGCACTAATAAATGGAATAAAAACATTCCAATATGAATAAAATTTAATTTGTGTACTCAATTAGAAATTTTGGAACGAGTTGAAACATAATATCGCAGAAATTCATTACAACCTTAATATGGTTCCAAAATGCCATTCAAATATTACTTAAGCATTCTTTTGGCAGTTTTGGATCCCAACTTCCCCCTTGACAGCAATAAAGCAAATCAGAAAACTTCTTCCGTGATTACGTAAGAAAAACACAATAGAATCCACTTTGTATTTTGCTTCACTTTAATTTATAATGTAATAATCTAATACTATGATTGAGTTCAAATTTAAATGTAACTTTTCTTAAATCAATTTTTTAAAAATTTATTTTATGAAATTTTTATAAAATTCATTTTATGAAATCACTTCTGTTGGGTTTTTAAACTACAAGAAGAAGTTTTTTTTTCCATGAATTTTTTTTTCTCCAGATTTAACTAGATTAACTCTAGATTATTTCAAATTTAAAATCTTCGAAGTATAATCTTTTCATAAATTGTTTGCCACATTTTTTGTTTACCTATTAAAATAAAATTTTAAAAATAAGGGAATTTCAGTGTTATTACGTAAGCATTATTCATATCTCTTCTCTCTCTTAAGCAAAACTGAGCAAATCACAAACCCCTTCCCCTGTGTGCTTACGTAATATTTAAACAACCAAGTTGAACCATGGTACTCCTTAAACCTGATTATACGCTACTACGGTTCAATCCCTGGACAGAAAAATATTTCAATTTATTGACTTACAAAGGTTGCGGGACATTTAAACGAAATTATAATTCAAGGTACCAATAGTATGGCTCAACTTTGAGCCAGTTTTTTTAGAGTGATTCAGTTTGTGATATATATTTTACTCTTTTTAAGGTTTTTGTGATTTTGAGCAGAGCAAGTGTTCTTGGGTCGATGGTGTAGGAGATTATAATTGGATCAGAAAAACACCATCTTCATGGAGTAACAATGAAATTGGACCCGACGAGGATAATACACTTAAGACTGATGATGGTAACGCATCTATTGATTTCTTTAAATTATGCCTTTTTTCATGTCCTTAAAACAGGGTAAGATGTGATTGATTACAGTTTACGATTATTCTGTAAAAAATACATGAAATAATCATGAATGCTAGCAATCAGGAAGATATCTAAATATAACTGTATACAGTAATCACAGATCATTCGTATTTGCGATGAAAACCTTTCTATTATTGTGAAATTGACAAATCTACAAAAGTTAAGACAAAGTATCTCGATGGATTTTTAAATTTTCTATTTAGACATCCTACAATGACTGAGAGCCAATGTGACATCAGAACTGGACATCGATGAAAGGTTTTAGTGAAACATGATTCATTTTAAAGAGAGATAGCTCTCTATTTGTAGCAGAATGTGGATCAAATGGTCTCTACAATGAAGTGGAACCTAATCTAAGATTTATTAATTTTTGCTCTTTTCAATATAATAGGATTTTTTTTTAATACAGTTTAGTGTCCTTAGTGTTTTAATACAGCTTTGTTTTCTTAGTGTTAGCAAAGATGATGTATTATTTTTTTAATAAATTAGAATTGAACGCATTTTGCTTACTACTTGCAAATAATTTTTAAAGGGTATACAAATGGTCAGATAGACAAGTAATTATATTCTCAAATCGTGATAAAAGTTTTGAAAAAATTCAAATAATTTTATTTTGAAGTGTTCTGCTTCAGTTCGATACCACTTGAAAAACTATTTTGTTCGAACCTTAAATGTTAGAGGCCATGATATAATTGACTTATATTGCTGTTTTGCTATTAAGACCATCAAAAGTCTCAGATGAATTTTAAAAGTGAATTATTGCCGGAAGCTGTAACATTATTTTTAGTTATATTTTTTTTTAGTTTGGGTACACTATTTCGCTTTGTTTTTGCCAACGATTCTAACGTACTAAGTAATTGTTCTAAGTTGTTGATCCTCCGAAAATTCTGAACCCCTGATTTTTAGAGATGATCTCTTTTTAACATTTGCAACTAAATTTAGCTTTTATACTTGATTTGAGAACTCAAATAATAAATCAAATGGTTCACTAGATAATAGTTTTTCAGTGAAAACCTCTAATTTTCGGAGAGGAACCTATTTCGACATTTGCAATTCAATATAACTTATCTAATGAACTGAGTTGAAAACCCCATCATTAAGTCAAATGGTTTATCAGATATTCGTTTTCTTTTTGAGTTCTTCAAAACTTTTGTCTAAAAGAAAAAGAGTCTTTTTCAAAATGTGTTCCTAAATTGAATTTATCCAATCCCCATTTTTGCAGGAAACTACATGGTATTCAACACGAAATACAAGAAAGCTGGTTCAACAGCAAGCTTAGAAAGTGAATATTTCCCACCCAGCAAAATCAGTTATTGCATTAGTTTTTACTACTATATGAAGGGATCTGGTTTAGGAACATTAAAGGTAAGTTTAAAAGCAAATATAAGATTAAAAGCTATTCAGGGTGGTGTATTTTTTCTCTTGCTTCCATTATATGTTCCTTTCAGACCCGTTTTACAAGCGTTTTTACAGTTAAACAAAAATAAACATTGTTGTCTACATGTTTCTCATAAATAAGTTATTTATTTAAATGGAATATATTGTATTACAAAGTTATTTGGTTTCATTAGCTGTTTTTTTTAAAAAATACTCATAGGCGTAGTTGGAAAACAGAATCGAACACCTTTGTCTATTTCCTTAAATAGGTATATTAATTTTCTTAATTACGTATATTAAGCAATGTCCGTTTTCTTAAATATACATTTTGAGCTATATTGATTTTCTTAAATACGCATTTTGTGCAATGTCCATTTTCTCAAATATACATTTTGAGCTATAATGATGTTGTGTCACAACAACCAGAAATAAGACGTGAGTTGTACCAAACAATTTATTTAAACATTCACACGAAAAATCACAAAATATTACCCAAAGAAATATCTCTTCTCAGAAAAAAACTCTTTTTCAACTACACAAAAAAGAACATCACTTCTCGTGTGTGTCTCTCAAGCAACAACATTTTAGCATTACCTCTCGAGGAATTGATGCTTTTAGCTCAGTTGCGAGAAATTGATGCTTTCAGCTCAGTTGTCACACTGTTACGTTACAATGATTTTTCTTAATTACGCATATTGAGCAATGTCCGTTTTCTTGAATATACATTTTGATATACGCTATAATGATTTTCTTAAATACGCATTTTGTGCAATGTCCATTTTCTTAAATATGCATTTTGAGCTATAATGATTTTCTTAATTACGCATACTGAGCAATGTCCGTTTTCTTAAATATGCATTTTGAGCTATAATGATTATCTTAAATACGCATTTCGTGCAATGTCCATTTTCTTAAATATGCATTTAGAGCTATAATGATTTTCTTAATTACGCATACTGAGCAACGTCCGTTTTCTTAAATATGCATTTTGAGCTATGATGATTTTCTTAAATACGCATTTTGTGCAATGTCCGTTTTCTTAACCAAGCAGTATGAGCAATGTTAAAAATAAAGACCTTACTGATTAACCATTAATAGGTAGTGATAGTCGTGAATATTTTTTAATGTTTTAAGACCCTGCTTCAAATTTGTTTAAATGAGTATTTTTGGAGAAAGTGCATTTTTGTGACGAAATTATATTTAATTTTAATACATGTTATAACAGTCTAACTTGAGATATGATATTTACAAGATCAAAATCTGACCAATAGTTGAAAAGTTATTAAGGATGATTCGTTTTTTTTAAAACTTTCGCTCTGAAATGTGCGCTCCGGTAAGTATTTTTCTGAATTTAAATATAAGTTAATATATTATATAGTCAAAAATATTTTAATTTTTTTAAAAATATCATAGAAAAATAACTGATACTAAAATGTGTTTTAAATTTAATTCAGGTTAATGTGAAGCAAGAAAATTTTACCGAAGCTTCAGTGTGGACTTTAAAAGATGAACAAGGTGACATGTGGAAACAAGGCAAAACTATACTGAAACCTAGTTTGATGTACACAAGGGTGAGTTTAAATTAGATTTAATGCATTTAATTAGAATTGTTAGAAAAAGCGTCCATTGCTTTCAATTCTAAAACATTGAGTTACGGTATGTAATTTTATCTTTCAGGTTGTATTTCAAGGCATAACAGGAAAAGGAACGAATGCTTATATGGCACTGGATGACATTCGTATTCGATCAGGAGAAACGTGCAATTTGACACCACCTACAGCAGATCCACGATATGAAGGTAAAATCATTCATATTTATACTAATTTATCATTATTGAAGGTAAAATCATTCATATTTATGCTAATTTATCATTATTTAAGGTAAAATCATTCATATTTATACTAATTTATCATTATTAAAGGTAAAATCATTCGTAGAAGGTAAAATCATTTATGAACCAGCGGTTTCCAATTTTTTTTAACATCTGTGGATTCCCAAATGATTATTTAATTTTATTTCACATCCATTGTTGAACAGTTGACCCTAATTTTGAGTTTATGACTACCACTGTTCAACACCATTGTCATGAAATTTTGAACCCAATCCAGAAGACAAGCGAACTCTTGGATCAAGTATAGGGCGAAATGTTTGCCTTTGTGGAGGACTCCTTGATAGAACTAACCTGTCTTTGCATTACATGGAGAAGAAAACCAAGAAAACCTCCTATGGTTAGCCTGAAGGCAAGGGGACTCTAACCCATGATACGTCTAACAGGACATAATATTTCCTGTCAGATATGGGATCGATGCGAACCCGGTGTGGAATTCGTATCGACCAGGTATCGCTGAGATTCGTACCCGGGCCACCTAATTGGGAGGCGAGCACTCTATCCTCTGAGTTACCACGATGATTTAATAATGATAAGAAATAATGATTGAACTTTTTACAAGGAAACCCCGTCTCTATAAATAATAAAGTAGATAAAAACTATGTAAAATAAAGTATATAAAAACGATTGTGAACGTATTAGCCAATATAAGACTACTTCATTTTGAAAATATTTAAAAAGAGTAATGAAATTCTTTTATGATAGTTTAATTAGCAATCATCAATAATGTTTTATATTCGACAGTTGATTTTAAACCCCTGGAAGTTTATCCAATTTAGTTTTAAATTTGTTGCTGGATAAGTGAAAACAAAAAAAACGCTATAAAACGATGAAATAAATAAGTCACGTAATAGTTTTCGTTGAAATGAAAACTAAAAGCACTGTTACAAAAGTTGAAAATGAATATCAGGGAAACACATTTTTTTGTTCATGAATTTGATCATTTTACTGTGATTTTAGCAGTGCGATGAGAAATATTAATACAATTTAAACAAGAAAATTTGCTGTTTCTTTTTTATTGGTATTTTACTTTAAATAAATTCAAAAAGACAACAAAATCCCATCCATCAGAAAAAAAATCCCATCTCACGGAATTTTCTGCTGAACCCTAGGATTCCGCAGAACACTATTTGGGCACCGCTGTATCTAACATCTCATACAAGTTTATATTGGACATAGCATTAGATTCCTGCTACTTAGCTAATGTTACGAATATTGTAATTTAAATGAACAGAGTTATTCGATGTGTTTGAATACTAAAACTAAGTAAATTTGTACATTGTAATAATCGTGTATTTCTAGAGTTCGGTTCATTGTTTAACCCATTTTTGCCTAGCGTCCATTTAAAAGGACGGTTCCTATTCTCAAAAACAACAAACAATGTGGTAAAATATGTGTTCTGCTATCAGGATTCATTTTGCGAAAACCTGTTGGATCTTTTTACTATAATAATAATAAAAATATTTATATTTGTATTCGAAGTGAAAGCACGAAGCGTTTTTAAAGTTAAAAGTATAAATAACAGACAGTATATTCACTGGATATAAATGAATATACACTAGCATTTATATCATATTAGTGTTTTTCATATATTGACCACTTTTTACGACTAGGCAATAATAGGCTAACAGTAAAAAAATTCAGTTAAGCTATGTGCAATTTCTTTAGCGTGAATTTCGAAGTATGCCGCAATTTTAAGCGCGCATTTCAAGCTTAATTTCCTAAAATTTTTTTATTTATTAAATATACCTTTAGAGTTACGTCTGTTTTTTTTCAAACAAACATTTAAAGATATGTCCATTTTCTAAAACTTTTATTTTAAGCTATGTCCATTTTTTAAACATATTTTTTGAGCTACATTCAACTTTTTCAAATACACATTTTAAGCTATGTCCATTTTCTTAAATGGTACATTTTGAGTGATGTCCAATGTAATAAAAAAAAATCAGTGACGTCGTGCGCTTTTGTCAAAGAAAACTAGCTTGCTTTAATTCACACATTCCAATTAAGATCATTTTCCGTGAATGAGACAAATGTAATTTTGAGGTGATTATTTAAATTTAATTGAATCTTTCAATTTTAGCCATAGAAAAACTGAGCTGCACTTTTGATAATCTGAACCTATGCTCATGGAAACAAGACACTGAAACTCTCAGCTGGAAGTTCGGCAATGGATCTCAATTCGATAGTACTGGTCCTAAAGAACCTCTCAATGGAAAAGGTAAGAAAGAAAAACTGTTTTATAATATCTACTAAAACTCGTCTTCTAAATTATTTTGATGTGATAAGATTTATTTCATTTCCAGGGCATTATCTTTTTGTAAGTTCTTACGAAGGCAGCCAATCAAACAATGAAAAGGTGGCAAGAATCTCATCTCCAAGTGTTAGTTCTTTCTATCCTGAATCAGCATGTTTTTCATTCTATTACCACATGTTTGGTGCTCATGTTGGACAGTTGCGCGTGGTTTTAGTGCTGATGAAAGATGACTCTACACCGATTGCAAGACAGGTCATTTGGCGAAGGAGTGGCACTCAACCAGATCAATGGATACAGTTTAGAGATTCTTTAAATGTTACTGCTGGTGAATATAGGGTAAGCATTTTATTTAATTAGAAATGAATGGCTAAAGAGGAGCCAATGTTTGGCTTCATACACACAATGTTTGGCTTCATACACAAACATTGTTGACAAAGACATTGAACAGGACCATTTATTGGCTACACTGAAAACGAACATTTAATATGATACTTTGTTAGCTACACCGATGAAAACATTGAACACGAACTTTTATTGGTGACATTGTAACACTCAGTGAAAACATTGAACAAGATCCTTTATTCGTTACACTTACTTAACGCATTGAATATGATCCTTTATAAGTTACACTGACAAAATAAATTAAGGAATTGAATATATACTTAACATTCATTTGACTGCTCATTTTGACTGCTTTTAATTTCAATTAGAAAAACAATGATGTATATAATGACACAAATTCTTAGAATTTTGTGACTTTTTGTACAACATAAATTTTTTTTATTGTTAATATTTACTAATAACTTGTTATATAACTGTAAATATTATAAAAAATTTTAAAAATTAATTTTAAACAAATTTATTTACGCATTCACATTTTGACTGCTTTTTGGCAATCTAGGTATAGACTAATTTTCCGTCTTTCTAGTGTTAAAAAAGTATTGAGCAAAGATCTTTTGCTTGCTACAAAATGATAAATAGAGTTGAAATTTGAACTCTTTATTGGCTGCTCGAATAAAAGGTATTTAATAAGACCGTTTGTTACCAATACAAATAAAAACATTGAACAAGGTCATTTACTGGTAGTACGTACAAAAGACATGGAATATCTTCCTTTAATGGTTACGCTTACAAAAGATATTAAACTGGACCCCTTATTGGTTACTTTGAAAAAGAATACAAAAGAAATGATCTTACATTTAAAATGGTACTGAACATGATTTTTCATATACAAAATAATAAATGGTGAATGCGACCCATTAATGACTGAACTGATAAAAGGCATGTAACAAAATACTTTGTTATCTAAACTGTTAAAAACATTGAACTGGATCGTTTGTTAGTAACACTTACTAAAGGCATTGATCAGGATTCTTTATTAGTTACACTTACAAGCATTGAACAGGTTTTTTTTATTGGCTATGACAAGGAGCACTAAAGAACTGAACTAACATTTTTACAAATTATTGAACAAAATCATTTTTTTAGCTACAGAATAGTACATAGTATTGAACAAGACCCTTTATTGATTATATTGATAACAAGTATTTAATCGGACCCTTTATTTGCTACACTGATGAAAACATTGACCAGGGTCATTTTGGTTACAGTTACGAAAGATATTGAACAGGACCATTTATTGACTACTCTAACAAAGAACACTAAGGAACTGAACTTAACAGTTAAAGTATTGAACAAGATCTTTTAATTGTTTGATAAATAATGATGAATAGGACCTTTTATTGATCACACGTATAAAAGGCATTTAATAGGAACCTTTATTAATTACAAAGATAAATAGCATTTAATAAGACACTTTGTTAGCCATATTGATAAAAATATTGAATAGGATTGTTTATAGGTACACTTATAAAAGGCAGAATTCCTTATTAATTACACATACATAAGGTACTGAACAGGACCCTTTATTACCATGTCTGGTAAAGAGTTGTAAGTCATTCTAAAAAAATGTAAGTTCTAAGTTATACTTAATTTTGTTAGGAGTTATAAAAAAGTTTCTTTCTGTATTGTGATAAAATTTTTTTATTTTATCAGTATTAGCGTTAATATCATTCATTTAATAAATCACTAATTATTAGGAGTAATTAATCCATACTGTGACTAGGACAGAGTAATTAAAAAAATAATATGACAAAAATGCTAAATGAAAAAGGCTAAATTTGATTTATGAAACCGTTTTAGATTGAAATCGAGGCAGAGGGAGGTTCTGGATTTGCTGGAGACATTGCTATAGACAACATACTACTAGACATAGGTGCATGTCCTAACATAGGTAAGATGCAAGACTTATTCTGTTAAAATCTTATGTTTTTTTTCTATGCATAACTTTGATTTGATTTATAATATGCAGATCATAAGGGCCACGCAGTTTTCGGTGTTCAATTTAATGAAGAATTATAAGATTTAGGAACTTGAAATTACTAGAGTGCGCAGAAAAGTGTACAGAAGTTGCGATGAAATAAAAAAAAAGTTACGATAATTTGTTTGAGAATTATTAACTGTTAAACTTTTTGGGAAAAATACCTTACGGATCACTTTACAGGCTATAGGAATGCAACCAAAGGAGTTGGAATTCGGCATGCATAAAAGGCCACATTTGTTTATGAACTTAAAATTTTTTTTCTTTTAGAAATCAAAAGTTATTGCAATTTCAAGCGCTTTTATTTTTGAGAATTTCGTTCTCAATTTTTTTGTTTTTGCGATACATTTTTTTCTGTAGCTCAAAATATATAAGACTTAGAGACTTGAAATTAAGAAGTATAGGGAGTTCGACAGAAATCAGATAAAAAAATCAAATTCGCCAATTAGTTCGAGATTTAGAGTCTGTTACGACACTGGAGCCAGTGTGTCTCCTGATGGAGTGCTGTTTTTGCTAATTTAAATACCTTTAAAATTTCGTTTCGCTTATTTTTGGTTTCTAATGTATTTTTTTTAAATTGCTTACTTAAGACAAATTTGGTTTTAGCTGCTTTTAGCTCTTTTCAATTTTGACTCATAATTTAAAAGTTTTATCCTAATCGTAAAGTTTTTATCTTAAAATTTGTTTAAATCAATTTCATACTTTGATTGTTTAAAAGAAATTCATTGACTTATAAAATATGTAGATGAAATTAAAATTCGACGTGTTTCAAGCGCTCAAAAATAGGCAGCCAATTTCAAGACTTGACGAATGGTTTGCTTTTTGTGTAAGGCTCATTGAGTTGAAGGTATGGTGCACTGTTTGCTGTGTTAATCTTTTTCAGTACATACTGCAAAAATATTTTTACCAAAAAAAAATAATATAAGTAACTGAATAACTATATTTTATTGTTGAAATATCTTAAACGTAATTGTCACTGATTTGTGACTGTTAAAAATTTATATGTGAAAAGTGGTACGATTTAGGCCTCTAGTTAAATAAAATAGTAAAAAATACTAAATAATTATTGAAAATTATTTTTTGCTTGAAGTTGTCTTTGGATAAACGAAGTTTATAGTTATATAAATTTTATAGTTATCCAACATTATAAATTTTCTCAATTCACTTGAAAAGTTCTCGGAATATGGCAAAATAAGCAAAAAATAAAATTAACAATAAGGAGTGTGAATTTCCGCTGACCAAATGATTGGGAATATATTTCCCAGATTGTGCCTCCGATATTTTGATTCTCAAAAATCTGAATCTGTTGAAAAGAGGATATATTTATTAAGAGAAAATGTGTTTTGATGTTTGGTCTCGTAACTTAAAATATTGTCTACAAAAATTAATTAGCATATTTGAGGTTAACCCCTTGGACTATTATTATCGAGTCCTAGAATGTGAATCCTGTCATTAGATTAAGTTATTCATGGTGGTTCGTTTTATTTCGCAGTGGAACTTTTAAATCATGTGAAATAAAAATTACTTTTCATTGTTCTTTTATTGAAAATAATTTTTGCATGAAATGTAAAGTTTGAAATATGAATCAAAAGACTCGAATTATTTACGAGTTTTGAGACGTTGATTGTAGATAATTATAATGATATATGTCTGGCAGACACAATAAAATTGTTTTAACTAAATTATTATGCCTTTTCATTGTAATTACTTTTCCTGAATTTAACCTATTGGCATTAGCCAACAATGTATATTATATGCTTTATTTGCAATAAACTAAAAAAAGAGAATCTTTTGATAGATCTGTGTGATTTTGAAAGCAGTTTATGTGGATGGAAAGTAGAGGGGAATAAAGGTGACTCTTATTATTGGGAGAGAGGTGTGAAAATGACCAATGGACCACCTAATGACCACACAACCATGACAGAAGCAGGTACGTTTCTTAAATTCAACTTTTTCACCCAATTTAAGTAAGAAATAAATGTTGAAGGAGTTTCCAATTGAATTGCAGAGTTTAAGCAGCGTCCAGAAATGGAAACTAATTTTAGGAGTTATTTTCCTTTTTGTAAATTCCTAACAATTTTTAATTCAAACAAATTCAATGAATTTCTGCAATTTTGTAAATTTAGTCAACTTTTAGTTAACATTTTATTTATGATAATGATTTGTAACACGTCGTAATACTACATCACATAAATTTTTCCTTTAAATTCTAGTGCATTTTTTAAGTTTAAATCTCGAAAACTTTTGGAATTAAATTTTTTTTATTTGCATTGTAACTATTATTTTTTACTTTGCAATCGTAATTATTAATATTGAAATATTTATTCAACTAAAAATTTAACTTGTTTAGTTTTTATTCAAACTCATATTATAAATTTGAAAAAAAGTGTTAATTGAATAATTCTAAAAAGTTAAAACTGAATAGTTCTAAAAAACTTAGAATTTTGCAATTATAAGTTTTTTTAAGAGTTATTCAGTTTCCTAAATTTTTGCTTTTCAAATTGCCTTATCTGTTACCAGACACAGTAATAGAATTGGGATTATTTAATTTCTCTTAAAAAATTTAAATTTTCATACTATTATTAATAATAAAGGTTTATATGAAGTACTTTCATCTAGAACATGCAAAAATAATGGAAAGTATGATAACAGTCAGGACAATTTTCATCGGACTTGGCCAAAAAAATCCCTCTTTTTAAAATGTCATATCAATTACCAGATACAGAATAGTCATATCTGTTACCATAAGAGAAATTTCAGGCTAGTAACAGACATGACATTATTTATAAATTTTTCTTTTAGAAAATTTAATTTTCATATTGATATAGGCTTAAATGAAGAACTTTTATCTAGAATATGCAAAAATAAAGGGAGATCTGTATAACAGACAGCACAATTTTCATCTGTTTTGGAAAGATAAATCGGAAGTCGTTATGGAGAAATCTTCAGAGGAAGGCATTGGCTGCCTGGTCAACTATGATGATGATGATGATATATATATAGGAGTAATTAATCCATANCATATATATATATATATATATATATTATATATTTACCTATTCCAAATTATACAGAATTTTTAAAATGCTTGAAGTGCCAAGGATCAAAAAATAAGAATAGTGATTCATTATCTTTTCGCTGAGTCCTTTACGTATTCACTTTTAGGGTATTATTTGCAAGCTGTGGCTGAAGATGAATCAAAAGTAGAAGATAAAACAAGTCTTGTAAGTCCTACCTACAATAGTCGATGGGGTCCGCACTGTTTAACATTCTGGTACTGGAGACCTGGATACGCAGTTGGAAAGTTAAGCGTACTCACAAGAATAAATAGAGTTGACAATCTGCAATGGCAAGCGACGTCGGATGTAGGAAAAAATTGGCACTTTGGACAAGTGACAATTAATGAGAAGAAACAACTGCAGGTAAAATTTTTGAATTCCCTAAAATATTTATATCTAATGCAAGGTTGCTAACTTTCTAAGCTTTCTGAGAAAATTTTTTCTACTGGTACCTAAATTTATATTTAAATGTTTGAGTCTTTGTTTTGTATAACTGATTTAAAGTTATTTTCCACACCATTGCTTGCAAATGATTCAAAGTAGTATATGAAAAGCTACTTTGTTTCATCTCTCACGTGGCAGTGCTTTTTAAAATTAGGAAAAATTGGCCAAATTTTTCTGTGAATAAACTTATCGATCTCTGAATAGACATGCCTTTTTTTTTAACAGATTCGAATTTACGACCCTCAAAATAAAGGGGGTAGCCACAATCTGGGAAATAGGGTACCTATAGTTTGGTCAGGAGAGCTGTCAAAATTTTTGATCCCTTAATGTTAATTTTTGTTTACTTTTCCACGCAAAAAATAGATGTCAGTAAATATGTATTATTCTATTTCATAATAGTCGAAAAATGCTGAATTGTAAGTATAAAATTTTTTACATAATTTTAAAGTACTTAATTTTAAATGGAAAAATGCAAAATTTAAATAAAATCGGTTGAATAGTTCCTGAAAAATCGAATTTCAACAATATGATTTTTTTAAAAACCATTTTGATCAGTTTCAATTCGGTAAATAGTCTGCGACTGTACAGAGATTCTTAAATTATGTTATGTAACGTTAGAAAAATGTTCTAGAATAAAACTATATTAAAAATATATCTCGTTAAGTCTTTCAGAAACAATTACCACAACATCAAACATATGCTCTTTTGAACTTTTAGGTTGGAGTCTTAATTAATTACTTTTTCAATAATTTAAATTTTAACGAAAGCAATGTACTAAGCAAGTAATGAAGAAGAAAACAAAAGACTGTAAGATAGCTCACACTTATTAAAGAAAAAGGGCTACGTGTAAAAAACAACACATTTCATTGGGTGAACTATATTCTAACCATTGAGTCATTCCCTGGTCGCGAAATTACTGATTTTGGTAATCAGAAATGTTCATTTAGATCATAAAATGAAAACCTTCGGGCTATTTCCTTTTTTTTTTGGACCATTTTCTTTCCCTTTTTCCTCTTTTTTTAAAATCTTAATTTTATGCCAATGATATTATGATGACCCACGCCTTGAAGTAGGAAATTGAGTGGCATATCCACGATATTCTGCCGTTTTCATGCAAAATATTCTTTAATATTGTAGACAAAAGAGAGTGTGTGCTTTTTATCCGATAAGCTATTCTATACATAACCTGATAAATTATATACTTTATGAATTATTAAAAAAGTTAAAATTTTTAACTGAAAATCAGAGTTTTTATATAAAATAAGTCACTATTTGTAAGAATCTTGGGGAAAATTAGATTTCAGATGATTACACTGGAATTTTTTTTCTTCTTTTTTTTTGCATGAGATTTTTGAACGGATCTTACATATTTTCAAGTTTGCAATCCAAGTCCAATCTACAATTTTTATGCAATGGAATAATCTATTGATTCGAGTTTTGAAATTCCACACTAGGAATTTTTAAAATTCACTCAAGTGACTACCTAGTTTCCCCACTTCCATGATACGTCGGAAGTAGAAGGAGGAAGGAATAACGTTATGGTCATATGTGTTTTTCGTAATTTTTATTTTTCAAAGGAGCATGCAATTGTATCTAAACCAATACATTACTTATAAACTTGTACATTCCGAGGGAAAAAAAACTAAATTAAAAATACCATTTTGAAAAAAAAAACTTATAGCTATCGGAGCAAAAACTAATTTCAGATATGAAATCCCTACATCCGAATTAGATGAAATCAAGTAATTGTATAAATGCAACAAAAAGTAGCTCTCTAGTATTATCAAGTTTATAAATCTGAAACGAATTACAGCAATTGTACAATTTAACAAAAAAGTAGTTCTCAAGTATTATCAAGTTTATAAATCTGAAACGAATTACAGCAATTGTACAATTGAACAAGAAAGTAGTTCTCTAGTATTATCAAGCTTATAAATCTGAAATGAATTACAGCTCGTTATTCAAGCCGAGAAGGGAACAAGCAATGCTTATCAGATGGCCATTGATGATATCTTAATTAAGAACAGTGTGTGCGGGGAGCCAGCTAATTGCAATTTCAACAAAGACTACTGCAGTTACTCACAGAATGCTACTTCAGACTTTGCCTGGTTGCTTGGAACCGGAAGAGTGGTCAATAGCCAGCTGATAGAAAATCCTCCTTCAGACAACAGCTTCGAAAATGGTATGCAAATTTGAACTTGTATTATTTTCAGTATACAAGGTGTTTCGTAAGCAATGTCAGTAATATGCATTTTTAGTCCTCAAATGTATGTATTTTAGTATACATAACACATTTAGAGTATAAAAGCATGTAGAACAAAATTAAAATTAAGGATAAAAATGAATAAATTTAAAAGAAGTTTTATCAAAATCGGTTGAATCACTAATGAGGAAGGGGGTACAAAAACATCAAAGCCAGTGTGGTTTGTTGGAGATGCTGTTAATAATCGTTTTCGAAACTTTCTCTGACAGATAAAATGTTTCTTTAAGTTCTGCTTTCTTCACTAGTAATTCCTTCGGATTTCTATTGCGATTTAATTTTTCCACGTAATTTACGACTCTTAGTAAATAAATATTTTAATTCTTATTTAAGAAAATGATTATTAAATCTATATAATTCCAAAACATTTGGTATGAAGTGAAAAACAGAGAATTTCCATAAAATAACTCTTTGTAGAATTTTATTTTCTCATTTATTTTTTTGTGAAAGTTAGATTGTGTCAATATTTCTTTACGCTTCAAAATTGTATATGTTTATAAACAATTGCACACAATTTCAATAGTAATTCCTAATTAACTTCCTTAATAGTTAAGCCTCGTCACCATAGTCACCACCACTGCGCTAGACGAATGGCGAAGGGAGGTCTTTCGATAGATAGACTATATAAGTCAAACATAAATATTCAAAGTGAATCAGTTAAGAGGCTCCGCCCCATTCGAGTAGTGTATTTCTGACCTCGATTAGGTTTTTATTTATTTTTACAATATGTTCAATTTTTAAATCTAAAAGGCCATGTTTACTTGATTTTATTAGGGTAACATTTATTTTAATTTTTCAATTTGCAAATGACAATACTAAATCTATGGTTAAAAAAGTACATAATCTATATTCTATTATTGTATATTATATTTGTAATGCTGCAATTTGTGAAATATACTTTTAAATTTTGATTATATTTTCAAGTTAAAGAAAAATATGTAATAAGCTTGGAGCAATTTAATGGTATACCACAAACTTAAATTGCTTCGAAGACCGATTTCTAAGAGTGGTTTTGGTGAATGAAAACACCACGATTTTCATGCAGGCTATAATTTGTTTCTGTGTATAGAGATTTGTTTCTAATAGAAATTTTTGAAATTTGTAAATTACTGATCTAGGAACAATAATAAGGAACATGAGATATTAAAATGTCGCCTTCGGAAAATCATTGTTGTTTGATCATGTCGTTTCATCATTGTTTTACCCCTAAACCCATCAATATGTTTTATTTCATCGATTTTATAGAAGCATTATAATGAAATTAGCAATCTGAAATTTCTTTTTTTTTCTTAGAAACTTTGAAATATATAAAAAATAAATAATTTTTATTAATAGGTATGTATGCATATGCTGATATGACTTCACCAAGCTTGCAACCTGGACAGGTGGCTGTTTTGTCTAGTGAAATTTTACTGGGATCAGCTTATAAAGTTACATGTGTCACATTCTATTACTACATTGGCGGAGAAGGTATTTACAACCATCATTATTAATAATTATAATAAAATTTCGGTATTTTATTTGAATAATATTCCTGATATGTATTTATTACTTGATAACTGACACGCAAGAGTAATGCAAGGAAAAAGTGTGCTTATCTCCCGTTTTTAAGTTTTATATTTTAAATTTGAACTTGTATAACAAGTATTTCAAGTTAGAGTAACAGACAAGTTTTAAACAGGATTGGCAGTACCATGTTTGCACAGATTGGATGAATGAGAAATATTTGGATTTGGATTTAATTGAATGTAGAAAAATGACAAAAGCTTATATATATATATATATATATATATATAAGTTCAAAATGAAGAATAAAACAAAGAAAAATTATAGACATATGAAAAAAAAGGGTGGGAAATAATAAGTAAAAAAACAACAAACAACATTTTATAAAAAAAAAAAAAAAAAAAAAAAAAAAAAAAAAAAAAAAAAAAAAAAAAAAAAAAAAAAAAAAAAAAAAAA